CCCCCCCTCCGCAGCCGCTCCGCGCTTCCCACGACCCTCACTTGTTTACACGTCCACATCATCACGGTGAAGCGACAAGCAGAAGCCAATCCGCGGCAGGATCGATGTGCTCGTGACGGCTGGCCGGCCCACGAACTCCTGCCCGCGCCGCCATCCCTCCTGCAACCTGCCACCCACCCTCCCCCGCCGGCGGTCGGGGTTATCCAAACCTCGTTAACCGTTAGTTGGGGCTTGATGACGTCACGGACCGCTCATCCAAACTAGCTTATTAACCCCTAACCCTCACCAGGACCTGCACCAGTTCGATTTGTACTGTAATCCTGTTAACGCCCCCCTACCCCCTACCCCCTTTCGGTCGGGTCGTTACGTACCGACCGCGCCGCTGATGACAAGGGCAGCGGAGCACAGCGGAGTCCCCCCTCCCCTTCCCCCCTCTCTCTCACAGGCTGCATGCCAAAAACCCCCCGTGGTCGCGGTGCAGATCGTGTCAACCAGCTCTCGCGCCGTACGCCGAGCCACCTCTCCCGCGGATGGCCCACCCTACCCCACCACACCCCACCGCACCCCACACCCGCCCCCGCCAACCTGTTACCCGGCGCGGCCCCCCCAGTGAGCAGTGAGCCCCCATAAAACACTAATGAGTGGATGCGCGTCCCCGTCAAGCTCACACGCCCGCCCGACTCGGCCCGACACGCGAGCGCGCCCTGACCGCATAATCAGCCAGCCTCCCCCAACGAACAACTCTCATTGGTTTCTCATTTTATCGTCGTGCGTTTGCCAATCGCAGACAAATTGATGCATCAGGCCCAAGGGTCATCTGATGTGTTTGCCCATGTTGCCCATGTTGGCGCCATGAGTGCGCATCTGCTACCTTGTCATTGGTCGGTTGTGTCTACAGTCCCATACTCCCGCTTCTCCGTATCAGTATGGGCGGAACTTGTATTCCATATCTCATGTTTTTCCGAGTTTTTACGCATATTATGCCCTCCAGTATAGGGTATTCCGCTACAACCCAATCGGAACCGAAAGAAGAAAAGCATGACTACCCGATCTGTTTCCTCCTGAACGCCGATTGGCCAAAGATGGCGTGGCTGTGGCGGTCAGCCAATGAGCGCGCAGAGGGAAACAGATCGAGAAGTCGTGCTATTCTTCTTTAGGTTCCGGTTGGCTTGCAGCGGAATACCCTATTGCGGGACTGCCCACTCGCTGTCGGATTGTAGCCGCCTCACGTGCGAACCCACAACGCTGTAAACGCATGCAAAGCAGGAACGCCCGCCGGCTCAGTATGGATATAGAGAAGCCTAGCTCAACATTTCGCCTTGCCGCCATATGGTGTGAGAGAAATCGCAAAACCTTCCCACACAGTGCCCGAGACCCTCCTGGTGGCAGCGTGTGGTGTCGACGGGAGGCACCCCATCGAAGGATCTCCGAGCGGGAGGATTATGAATGGAGGCGAGCGCGCCGCGCCCGCGAGTGCGGTGCACGGCCACCACCCGCGCTCGCGGGAGGCGTGTGAACGTGGGGGGAGGGAGGGAGGGGGCTATCGACCCACCGCTGGCATTTCGTTCGGCCCGCGCGGCCTCCCTCCACCCTCTCCGTACCCTCTATCGTGGGGGGGAAGAAGGGTACTTCAGCACCTCTCCATACCGCCACGTCCCTTCTACGGCCGATTGCACTTCTGCTGCGCGACTGTCGCGACAATGTCGCACCAAAGCCAATAACTGCCGTTGCGCGGCAAGACCCTCAGAGTGCTCCTCGACTTGGCACGGCAAAGCACTCCCGCTCGGGCAAGGACGGCTCACCACGTGACGACCGGAGCAACGTCACCAGCCCGGGACGTCGTGCGAGTGGAGCCTGCACAACACGGCGACGAGTCGAAAACGCAACGTCAGCCGCGTTTCATCGCCCAATCACCACCGTCACAACGGGTCAAAACTAATTGTACTCGGACTTTCTCTTTGGTAAACTGCGAATCGCGATCCCGGATCCACCGCAATTTGTTGGATTTCGGAAAACGGTGGCACGAGAATCTTTATCGCTGGCGGGCGCCGGGAGGGCGCTGGGTAGGCAGCTCGCCGAACGCAGCTGCACACCGCCGGCCGGATTGCCTAACTCCGCGGCGCTTGCCCTCCCTTCTCATCCTCTTTCTCTCGCTCTCTCTTCCTCCTGTAACCCGGCGCTATGATTCTCGCCCCTCATGCATCTTTAACCCTGAGGTGGGGCCGGGCGGCGCTGGGGGCCGTGCTGCGCCAGCGGCCAGGGCGCCGCGTGGCGCTTCGCACGTAGACACCGAGGCGTCCACGCCGGGCTCCAGCCGGGCTCCAGCCGCACCCCGGGGGGTGGGGTGGGTGGGGCGCGGGCCAGCAGGTGGTGGTGGGCGGCGGTGGGTGGCGGGGCGTGGCGGGGCGCACCGCGAGTCGGCTTGCGGAAGGGATGGGGCGGTGGACCGGGCATGCGCTGAGCCGAGGACCCCGCCACCCCCATGATGGCCGCGCCCCATGGCCGCCCTATGGCCACGCGGTCGGCCCCAAGCGTTCCCATGCCTCTCCCTCTGACACGTGGCTCGGCCGACTTTTGCGACGTCTGAACGTCTGTTTGGCCCATCTAGGCTTGAAACGTCTTCTTTCTCTGATTAAGAGGGGTGTTGTTGTTTTTTAAAAATAGTAAAAGATATAAGATAAGAATAGTTGCTTGACTTTGCAACGTTTTCAAACTGTCGACGGCCTTCCGTGTCGATTCATTTTCCTTGAGGAAACCAAGCCCGGGATTGACGCACGATGTCCACCCACGCGGCCGACATCCACCTCCATCCTTCTTCTCCGATCGTTACAGTGACAGTGCCCGCGGTCACCCCTCGCGCCACTGATAAGGGCCACCCACGCGCCGACAGAGATTAAGCGAGGAAAACACCTCCGCGCATAAACCGCAGGCTTCGTCGATAGCGCGCCAGGACCTAGATCTACTGTCGCTTGTCGCTGATTGTTCGGCTACAAAGAGACGAGCCCGCGTTTGATGGGGACGTTTCCGACGTATTGTATTGATTCGATTCTGCGGGGCGTTCCCTGCTTCCCCGACTGGAGCACTTCTTGACCTTCCTTGGCGATTGGTAGAGGTGGAGGGGTTTCCCCGGGGCCGAAGCGGGACTCGGCAGGACCCCTGAGGCCGCCGGCGGGCGCCTCGAGCAGAGTGGCCGAGCAGGTCCCTGAATTTGATTGAGTTCCACTGGAGAAGTTTCCCCCCGCTCCCCACCTCATCCTCCTCTGTCCAGAGTCGCCGTCGACGAAAGTGAAATCGTCGCGCGAACCGCAAGGCGCCGCCGCCTCGCCCGGCTGCCCAGCCCCCCCCCCCTCCCACCTCCCGCAGCCTCGCTCTTGTTTTGCCGACGCTCCCAGGACTGTGCTCTATGTACTCAAACACTACGGGGCAGTTGTAATGACAGCTCAGCCCGACTGCACCCGGCGGGCCGGGCGTGGGGCGCACTGCGCAGTGCGCAGCAGATGCTGTCGTGTCCGGCTGGAAACACTGCCAGTTAAACTGCAGCTAATTTTGTCCGCAAAAATAGTTGTGAAATGGTGAGAGATTGTAAAACCTCTTGAACTTGAACCGGACAAGCTGCGCCATCCCTTTTTAACGGTATACTGGTTTGACGTGCTGACGGGCTTGCCTAACGTTGTTCGCCGCCTGGTCCCGTACGCCCCCGTATGAGTTTGAAACGCGCCCGCACGCAAGAATACAGTACAGTACAGTATGGCCCGAAAAAAGGGATGGCGGAGATCACTCACGCTTTATACTGTACGTACATGCT